AATTTTTGAAAAATTCTTTGAATTCTTTAAAAAATATTGCGCTAAGTAATATTTTTTAAAGAATTCAAAATATACGGTAAGTTGAAATTTTTTTTTTGACAAATTTATGAAATATTCTTTGATGTTTAGTATGAACATAAGGTTAATTGAATGTTTTGTACATGCATGTGCAATACCAAGAAATTTTACTATCGGAGTCGAAGTCGCAATATTTTTTAGCGACTCCGACTCCGGTAAAATTGTCGCAACTCCACAACTCCGACTCGACAGCCCTGATTAAAACAATTTGCTGCTGTGACAATGTTTATTCTCCATGTCAGAATAATATTTTATTGTCAGTTAAGAACTTTTGAATATTTCAAAATGGAGACAATTTTCATAAAAATCAACAATAATCACTGATTTAGAGAGTATCTAATAAGTACTTTAAACTTGTAAAATAACATAAAAGTCAATTTTCAATGTGTACCTTGTGTGTCATAATCTGTTCGCGAAAACAATGTTTTTAACTAAAAGGATTGTATGTTTATTAATAATAAAGATTTTACTTTTTTATTCACTTGGCCTATTGTCTGGTAGCAATATTCAGGTTAGATTTTATAAATTTAATTTACTTTTTAAAAATCTTTGAAATTTACTTCTTAAAAAGTTACATTTGCTTTTTTTTTGTACTAAGTGTTTAGAATCGAATAACAATATTTTGTTTGTTATTTTTAATGCCACAGTTTATCGCATTGTAGGTTTTGGATTTTTCATTTATCTCTATCTTTAAAACTGGTTTATAAAAAAAATTAATATTTTCTTTTATATGATTGTATTCTATTTTATAAGATATTTTACTAATATTTTAATTGCTTTGAATTATTTTTAATTTTCAGTTAATTAATGTTATAGCCAAAAAAGTTTAAGCAATCCCAGCAAGAGTAGCTCCTGCAACACCCTTATTTGTAAATGGTAAATAAATCATTTGTAGGTTTTATTGTTAAGTATGAAACTAAAATATCATTCAGCTATTTCTATTATTTTTTGTTGTTGTTGTTGTTGTTGTTGTTGTTGTTATTTTTACATTTATCTTATGAAGCATTTGTACACTAATAAGATAATAAGAAGGGCCCTCATCCTTTAGTGTACTGAATAGCGGGCCCAGAATAGGGGAAAAGATTTCCCCTCATTTTATCAAAAGGAAGGAGATTACCTTCACCAAAAGTTAAGTGAAGGAGTTAGAGTGGGCAGGGAAAAATACATAACTACATCTACAAATAGAAAATGTAGTTTATTATGTATATTTTTGTTGTTGTTGTTAGTTGTAAAAAAGAAAACTGTAAAAAAATACATTTCTTTATATATATTAACTTATGTTTATAAAGAAATTTTGGTAAAAAAAAAAAAAAGATAAATATTCTGTTTCTACACTAAACACCATCAAAATTTTAGCCAGCAGAACATGTAAAATAATAAAATTTTAATATTTTTACATGTTCAAAATAACATTTTATTGTCAATTAATAATTTGTGAATACAATTAATAATTTTCATAATAATCATTGAATTAGGGGGTATCTAATAAGTATTTACAAAAAATTCTTGAGAATGGGACTTAAAAATCATTTTTTATACTGTGTATGTTCTTTATTTATGTATCCTTATCTGGTTCATGAAAACTTTGAAAATGTTTTTAAATTAAAAGAATAGTATTTTTTCCAAAAATAAAAATTGTATTAAATTCTTTTTATTATAATTTTTATTTGTTGTTGTTTTAATTATTTTACCTTTATTATCTCATGATGGTAGAGTTCTTTTTCATGCTTAAGTGCAAATAATATGTATTACAAACATTTTAAATTTAGTTGTCTTTTTATTTCTTTAGTTCTGTTTTGGTGCTCTACCAATTATCATAAGTTTACTTTCTCAACTGATAGAATATGGTTTTAACTTTGTAAACTTTAATTATTTAAAATTTACTATGTTGATCATGAGCTTATAGTTTAAAAAGAAATTACTTTGTCGCAATCAAGGCAAGAATTATTTTATTTTCTGATCAAACTACAAAATTTGAGTACAATGATAAGTTTGTGCTTTGTTCTTTTGTGAAATAGGTAATTGTCTTTGCAATAAATGTCTTTTCTTTAAGATTATGATTGGTTTTAGAAATGCTCTAGAAAAAACATCAGCAATACGCAAATTGGTCTGAAGTATGTTTTTAATTCTTTTAAAATATAATTTTTTTTTTAGATATCTTATAATACTTTTTCAGATAATTGCAGAACTAACAGAGGACCCAAATAAGGCACATAAAGTGTGAGTTTAATTTAGAGCGCCCCTACCTTTTTTTTTTTTTTAGATGTGCATCCTGTAAAGAGTAAAATATGAGGAGAGGGAGCAGTGAGAAACTAAATACACCACATCTTTAATTAGTATTTTTGTTGTTGGTTAATCTACCAATTGTTAACTGATGATGCAGATTTACTTTTTTACATATATTTTATTATTATGTTTAAATATATAATTATTGTATATAATAAAAGGGTATGGAACAGAATTACATAGACCCGTATTTTACGGGTCTGACCAGCTAGTTAATTATAAAATGTTATAAATTTATGCATATTTTTACTATTTATTAAATATTGGCAGTTATGAATAAAAGTTATAATATAATACAAAATAATATGAATATATATATATATATATATATATATATATATATATATATATATATATGGGTATAAGCATAATAAAGCTTTTTTTATTTTATTTATAAACAAAATTTTATAAAGCTTTTTTTTTTTATTTATAAACAAAATTTTATAAAGCTCATTTATATAAAGCTTAAACCATTCTATTTTGGGCAAATGTTAACTGCCCAAGATAAAATGGTGTAACATCCAGCTAAAATTTCCCTGCTCTTGGTTGAGTAAACGCTAGAGATGGTATCTTGATAAAATAACTCATCTTGGGCAGATGTTAACTGCATCCAGCTACTTTATTGTAGAAGGCCTCCTAGGCAAAGAAATTAGGGGTAAGCAGAAAAATATTGTTGACTAGCCTTAAACCCTTCCTACATCTATTAGGCTGGCATAGATGTAGGCTTCCTGCCTAGGATGATGAATGCTGGATCTTCTTGACTCTACTCATAGATTTTTGCTTGTGTGTTCTTGATAATGGCTATGCAACTCTTCCTGGTATCTCCTAATAAAAGAACAGCTCTAAAACACAGTTTAATGGTTCTGAGGCCAGCTGATAGTAAAGTTTCCTGAAATCTGTTGCAGATCTCAGAGAGTCTGATTCCATTAACAGCTGTAAATGTTGCACATGGATAGTGTCCCTGTTAATGCTTTTAGTATGCATTGTCAAGGCCACATAAGGAGCCCTAAGTTACGACTTTGGTTTAATTAGCAGGACTGAGACAACTGCATAGCTTATTGTTTGGGATGCTGTGCTGTATTTATGAATGAGTCAAGTTCTCTTAAACTTAAATCATGCTCATAATAAGTTAAAACATTAAACATAAAAAACCATCCCCACCACACACTACCACTGAAACAACCAAAAACATTTTTTACATTCATTAGTGATATACTATAAAGATGATGAAGGTATACTTGAACATATTTCTTACTGCTTTATATCAGACAATAATATCTCTAATGACACCACCATATGGGATCGTTACTGTTAAAAGGTTATCAGTGCAAAAAGTTTAAAACAAATATCCGAAACCAAATTCTCACATCAGAAGCCATGTATGAATTTTTTATTAAGAAAATCAAGGTTGCCATACCAAAGATCAGACTTACAAATGCAATGTGAAGATTAATAAGAATGGTATAACAACTCTATCTGGTACACAGCATTTCAAGAGCATTTGTTTAAATTCAGCATCAAAAAAGCATTATAAATGTTTACTTCATATTTTTGCCATTGTTTTTTCTTACTTTATATAGGAAAACATTTTTTTAATGTCATGAAAACTGGGTCATTTTGAGAAACCAGGTCAATATTAAAATTGAGTGGAGTGGAAAAGTCAAGTTAGAGAAAAATATTACAGATGAACTAAATGTTTATTTAAAAAACAGATCACTTAGTAGTTTTAAAAATGTAAACCATAAGCTATTATTCATGCTAGTTGCTTGTTGTCATATATAGTAAGAAACTATTAGTACAATAACTTCTCATTATATATAAGAGATTATTAGTACAATAACTTCTTATTATATATGACAACAAGCAACTAGCATGAACAAAATTTTTGCCAAAAATACTGTAAAAATAGAAAGCCATAACAATCAATTTAGTTATCAGAATCTTAAGAAAAAGCTTTTTGTTGCTTTTTCTTGTTATATAAGTACATAAGAAAAATGGCTGACTAGAATCATTTTTATCAACTTTTTAAACAATACAGTGAACTTTCAATCGCAGAATGCATAGTTTAAATTAAGATATATTTATAGCAACAAAAGTAAGATGTAATTTATCTCTAATTTATACTTCCATATACTTACTTATTAATTATATTTTAAATTTTAAATAAAAAATAGCGAATTATAAACAATACTTTTAACTTTCTAACAATAGAAATCTTAAAAACATGTTTTTTATAAAATAGAATCTATTTTGACTCAAAAAAAATTAAATATAAGTAATCATTATGGTTGAACTTATAAAGCTATAAATAGCATATAGTTTATAACTTACATAAATTAAAAGCAACAACTACAAGTAACAACAACTTATTTAACATATTGATTTAAATATAGATAAAAGAAAAAACAAGGGTTCAAAATAAAATAAGAGACCTTAAAAATAAAAAAACAATAAGTCAAAAAAGTAATTGATTTTTTATTTTTTACTTTTTTGGTAATAAAAATAAAAAAATAACCAAATAATTGCAGTAAAGCTGCAACAAATAAAGAAAAAATTAACAAAAAATATAAAAAAGTGAATAAATAGATATAAAAAGAATAAAAATATTTCTAAATAAAAAAAAATAAAAAAAACACCTTGAAAGCTCGTGTACTCTCTCTACATTAAACTTTAACGGAGACATTTCAATTCGCAAACAATGCAATGCATCAAGAACACAATTATCTTCTAAAAACTCTAAGAACTTTTGCTCCAATAATATAAACTTCATTTTCTGAAACATAGTCAAAAAAAATTATTAAGAAAAAAGAAATATATTTAAAATAAACAAGTGTAAACATTTATTTTAAATATAAAAAATTATTTATTCAAAATATTTGCATACCACATAACTATCTTCATTTTCTAAATATGGTTTTAGTTCTTTTAAAACATTTTCTGCCTATAAACAAAAATTTTTATTTAAAGAACAGAGCGTAAATATATTATTGAAAACCCTAATTTAATTTTTTGTATTTAACTCATGGAATTATCAGGAAAACACATAAAACTTTATTAAAATGATCAAACATTCTAAAGATAAGCCATTATAATCATTAAAAAACAATTTAGAAATTTAAAACTTCAATTTTTATTCATCTATACTGCCCTATTAATCCAAAACAACTTATCTTTACTTTTTCTCAAAAACAGGTTATTGGTATCATTATATATTCTGAAGAGTACTGCACATATTTACCAAGGTAAAAAGATGTATATAGTTGATTATCATCTTGAAAATTGTTAATAAAAAAAAACATTAAAAGAAATTTTTAGGGGGAAGCGATTTTCAATTTTGTGAAACACTTAATGTCCAACAATTATGAAATGTGGAGATTTCATTATTGTTTGATATTAAATCTTTATAAACCCTGCATGGTATACTTTTAAAGAACTATTTTTCTGATAATTATAGCCATTCACCATCAAAAAGTTCATCAGGCAATATCTTGATGAACCTACTGATAATGAAACAACTTGTTAAAGAAAATAACAAAATAAGTGTTTTTACTAATTTATAATTGTTCTACTCTTTAAAAACATTGAGCACTCTATTTGTAGAATACACTAACATAATATATATATATATATATATATATATATATATATATATATATATATATATATATATATATATATATATATATATATATATATATATATATATATATATTATGTTAGTGTTTATATATATTATGTATTTGTAGAATACACTAACATAATATATATATACATATATATATATATATATATATATATATATATATATATATATATATATATATATATTATGTTAGTGTATTCTACAAATAGAGTGAATTTAATTGTAGTATAGTATGAACTTGTAACTAAATGTATATTGATGGAGGGAAAACAAAAGTTAAATATACTAAAAATAGTTTTTTTTCCTTATATATAAACATTGTTTCCGCGCAATGGTGATTGTCGTATTGACGTATTTTCATAATTATCTATTATCATCAAGTTATTTTTTTTTATAACTGTTCCCTGTACAAATGTTTCTGTTGCTAATTTAGCACAGCAAATATTTTTATTGTGATAATTTTTTAAAATCTCTGAATACTCTCAACAAGTTTTACACTTGGCAAGAGTATTCAGAATTTTTATATTATTCAGAGTATTTAGAGTTTGAAATAAGTATGAAATAAACCCCCATTTTTCAATAACAGTTCTGTTAGGCATTATGACTTGTTTTGAGCTTGCTTACTACAAGCCTTCCCAGAAGAGGCGTGCAGTTTTTCGTCTTGTATGACCATGCAAGAGTATTTTATTTTAGACAACTTGATCATGGCCGTTTGCAAGTTTTATAAAATTAATCATGTCGGAAAAAGTTTTAATAACAAAAAAAGCAAAACTAACAAAATAGGAATTAAAAAGAAATATCAAATAGAAAAAAATAAAAATAAATTAATAATTTAAATCATTCATGTACTGTTTTTTTTTTTTTTTTTTTTTTTCTTATTTTTGTTTCTTTAGAGTGGTTGTTACATTCAGCAACAAAATTAGATAAGGCTAAGTATAAAAAAAAAGTTTTAAGCCTACAATAAAAAGAATGACTTTCCTTTATTTAACTTTTTTTAAAGAGGAAAGCGAAAATATAAATTGCAATGTATTTGTAAAATATATTAATATAATAACAAGAGTTGAATTATGCGATCACGAAATGCAAAATCTGGAAAAATATCTTGTCTTCAAAATTTTAGTTTATACAAAATAAATTTTAGTTTATACACAATTAATTTTAGTTTATACAAAAATACGTTCTTTGTTTTCAAAGGGCAAATCAACTTTAATTTGTTAGCAAAAAAGGTAATAATAAATAAAATAGTAAATAAAAAATAAAACAATAAACTTACAAATACAAAAGTAATAACACTTTAGTGACTAACTGCATTCTAAAAGTAATAACACTATAATAGTGTTATTACTTTTATAAGACACTTATAACTTTTATAATTCATTTTTTGTTTAAATAAGATAAGTTCTCCCAAACTTTAATTGAAGTAGAAAAGCATCTAGAAAAATATAGTGGATATCAAAATAATATTTAAAACTTAAGTAACTTATAAAAACGCAAACGTAACTTTATCAAAACATAATGTATAAAAGATTTAGCATTATTAAAAACGTTACTAATGATACGTAAAAACGCGCATTAATTTTCAAATATACTAATAAAAATTTTTATTAGTTGATTTTAATATTAAACGCGCCTTTATACGGAATATTAGTGACATTTTTCATAATGCTTAACTTTTTATTAAGTGCGTTTTTATAAAGTTGTTTAACTGATTTGTAAAATTCCTCAAGCTTTTAATATTTGAATATCCGCTTTATTTTTTCTAGATGTTTTTCTACTTTAATTATTGTTTGGAATTAATGTTGTTTGAAGAAAGAATTAACTTTAAAAGTAATAAGTGCTTTATAGAAGTAATAACACTATTATAGTTTTATTACTTTTATAATGCAGTTAGTAATGAGAGTATTATTACTTTTGTACTAGTAAGTTTATTGTTTGTTTTGTTTTTATATTTTTCTCGCTAACAAAATTATAATAACTCGCTCCTTGAAAACAAAGTACACAGCTTTGCATAAACTAAAATTTTGAAGATCAGATATTTTTCCAAGGTTTGCAATCAGCATTCCCGAATGCCGACGAATGTACATAAATTTATAGTGTTGAAAATTTCCCAGAAGTGTTCAACTCTGGAAATTTTGAAAAAAAGATAAGTTTTATTTATAATTAATGGTTAAGATTTAATGTCTTATTTAGGCAGTTGTTATGGACAATTTTATGGTAAAATATTGTGAAGCATACTATAAAAATGTTAGAAAGCCCTCTTTGAAAAACTATTTTCTTGGTATTTTGTTAAGCTTTTTTATTATAACTATAAGTTTAATAGTGGTGTAGTGGTAAACCACTCGGTTCATAAGCGAGAGGTTCCAAGCTCGATTCCCACCATGTCCCTGGTAGTACCGCACTCAGTTTGCTTCTTGTTTGTCAAGGTTTGTGTTTATAACCACAACTCCTCATCTGTAGTGGCCTTCTTAGCCTTAGGGAGGTTAATTACAAAAAAAAAAAAAAAAAAAAAGTAGCAACTATGATAATTTGTTTTCAAAATTTTAAAAAACTATTTTACACTGTTATTTTCCAAGCATATTGATGCTCATCACCGTAGCAAACTTTGTTCAAAGCTAAACATATTTTGCACCCCATTCCTTAAAGGGATGGGGCATTTTTAATATCTATTAGATTGGCCTACAAGTTACTAAAAACTGTAAAATTATATATAAAAAAAAAATTATAAAAAGACTTGATTAAATATTTACAACATTTTACAATTTTTTCTTGATTCAGAGACGCAATTAATTAATAAAAGGCAAAAAGTTAAGAAAACTTACTTGCTAAATTTGAACTATTTAAAAATATAATTAGCAATAAAAACAAAGAATTAATGATTTCGAGGTCATGAATTCCACTGCTATGTTTAAATAAGTGCTTTTAAGACTTGAGTATCGCTTGCCACAACCTTGATAGAGCACGTTTGAGTTTATAAATGAATAAATTAAAAAATTATATACTTTAAAATGGTTTAAATGTATACCGTATTTTTCAGCCAATACTGCCAAGTGGGCAATTTGTGTATGTGTGTGCATGTGTTTTATTATCATACCAAGCAAATTAATCTATTATTATTTTACAGAACATTTAAATCAAATGTGTTCACTAATGTTATTTTAGATAAATTATTAACACAACTAGTGCATTTGTAACACCTTTTAGAAAGATGATTTAAAATGCAATCTTTATACATAAAAATCTTTCTATATTTTTAAAAACATATGCAATCAGAGGCAATTCTACAAATAAAATGAGGAGAAGGGGGTGAATCCTTAAAAAATATTGACTGGTTTCTTAAAATTTAAAAAAAAGGTCCTTAAAATAAAATACACCCCCCCCCCCCCCCTGAATTGTGTCAAATACCCAACTAGCTGACTTTATTCATCAAAAAAATAGCCAAAACTTGAAAATCACCTTCTTTGTTGGGGTGGAGCACCCCTTTCCCCCACACACACTCCCCCAAAAATCGCTTTTGTATGCAATATTTGCACATACAAAGTCTTTATTTTTTTTGAAACACTCTACAAAAATAATGAAACTTTTTAATCTAAAAAAGATTTTATTCTTTGTATTTTGAGAATATTTACATCATAGTTGAGAAAAGTAAAAGCTAGAATTATGTTATACACAAGCTCAAAAGACAAGCTAACTCAGAAAATATCTACTTTTTGTTGTTTCACAAAATTAACGAAAGTTAAAGTAACATATAACAACTTAAGGGTTTTGTTGCTTTTATAGAAAAATGTGAGACTCTTAAATTGATTAACTTGATTATAAAAATTTGATAAAAAGATGTGTATTTTTTGCTTGTGGGTCATTATTATTTTATACTTTTTGATGAAATACCCAAATACTAAGATGATAAAACGCATATTTTTGAAACAAAAATAAATTACAAACATTTATATAACTATATAATAACTATAAGTTTATATATATATATATATATATATATATATATATATATATATATATATATACATACATACATATATATATATATACATATATATATATATATATATATATATATATATATATATATATATATATATATATACATACATACATATATATATATATACATATACATATATATATATATATATATATATATATATATATATATATATATATATATATATATATATATATATATATATATATATATATATACCATATGCAAATGCAAATTTTGTAAAAAAGCTATGTTTTGACCAAAATTAATGCAGAAAGAAAACTTGAAGATAAATTTATAT